AAATTAAAGCTACTAATAATGAATACAAAAGTAAAAAAAGAAGAAAAAAAAGTAATTTTAAAAAAAAAACAAGATAATAAAAAAAGCAAAGAACAAGATAGTTTACTTACTAGGAATATGACTAAATAACAGAATAAGTGAAGTACTAGTAAAAAAGAAAGCTAAAGAAATAATTAGCCAAACAAAAAAGATCTTAGATATAAAAAAATAACAAGTCAGATTGTATATATAAACAATATGATAATAATACCAAAATTAAGTTATATGCTACAACTAATAAAAATGTCAGAAAGAAGTATAAGTAAAATATATTAACCAATAATAAGTCTAGTAAAGCAAAAAAGCAGTCTACAAAGAACTTTAAAAAACTGTGTAATGGAACATAAAGATCTTGAAAACTATAAAACACTATAATAAGAATTAATAACAAAACAAATAAGTGGCCTATTAGCAAGACAAAACAGATAAGATAGGCTTGAACAGTTAAAAAATTAAAAATAATATAAGGCTGCCAATAAGCAGGTTAACAAAAGATATATGGAAAATAGAAAAGATGCTAGAAAATATAAAAAGTTGAAAAAGTAATTTAACTTGTTTAATATTATTAAAAGCAAGAAAGCTTAATATAAATATAAGAACAGAAGACAATTTATAAATAATATTTGAATATAAAACCAAAATAAAAGAATTTATAGATACATGATTATAGAAAATAAGTGATATTAAAATAAATAAAGCAGACTTAATATATCTAAATAAGCTACTTGATACAAAAAAAGATAAGTTAATTATATGATAACAGCTAAAAATTTATCAAGATCTATTAAGAAAAAAAAAACAGAATGGTTTAAAGTAATAAAACTAAAGGTATTCAGTAAACCAAAAAACAGAAAAGTTAAAAAATATTTTAGAATAAATAACCAAATTACTTAAGCAATGAAAATAAGATAGAAGTATATCCCAGAAGATAAAAAAAAAAGAATAAGTAGCACATAATGCACAGAATTATTAACAATTAGAAAAAATAGTCAAGAAGAAAAAAAAATATTAGTAGAACATTGGCAAATGCAGAATAAAAAAAGTAAATTGGTTATTGAAATCAACAGATGTGAGGGTTGTATAAAAAAAAAAAGAATATCATGAAGATAATTGCCAACAGTAGATAAGAATAAATAACAAAATCAATGTAATTTCAAATATATTGATAAAAAAAGATAGTAACAAGATCAAGATAACAATGAATCAAATAATAGAAATAATAAAAAAAAAACAAACAAATTAGTGATCAAAGAACAAAAACTTGAAGAACTAAGAGTAATAAAAGAGCTAGAAGTAGAGATGTTTAGATGACAAAAGTTAAAAGTTAGTATTAATCAAGAAATAATAGAAATTTTAAGAAGGAATATAATAAGAAATAAGAACAAGTATATAATATATACAAATAGAATAGCAAACTTGAAGACTAAAAAAGATACAAGAAGTAAAAAATAATATAGGCATAAAGTAGATGCAAACAGATGAAATACAAAAATGGCTAAAAGAAGAGTTAGCACTAGGTCTAGAAAAATGACAAACATCGATAATAGCTGAGTTAGTAGTGCAATTCTAACAATACTAAAAGAAAAGTTAATAAAAATATATACAGATAACAATGCTATAATAAAAAATATTAGTAGAGGTTTAGAACAAGTAAATAGAAAAAAAATTCTCAAAAAGAAGAATACAATATGAGTAATAAAAATTAGAGAGCTTATTATGACAAAAAATATTCATATAGAGTTTTTTAAAATTAAAGTTATAGTAAAGATAGATAGAATAATAAAGCTGATAGTTTAGCAAAAAAGATGCAATAAGTAAAGAGATAATATAGGCTGAAGAAGTCAGTTACAAAGAGATAGAGTACTGCTTGAAGTTAAAAAACATATGTATTGACATATTAGCAAGACTGCTTTATAAGTAAATAACAAATATAAAATTAGAAGCAAAATAGAAAGAAATGAAAACAATTAGAAGATTAGAGCCAGAAACAGAAGTTATAATTTATGATTAGTTATATTTTTAGAAAAGACTGAAGATATCTAAAGAAGTATATTGTATAAAAAGAAGAAGTAGTGCCAAAAAAAGTATATTTATAAAGTGTATAATAAATAAACTTCCAACTCTATAAGAACTGAACAAAAGAAGACCAGATATATATATAACAATAGAGTGCCAAGTATAAAAAGATAAAACAAAAAAAACACAAATATATTTAGCAGTATATAAAGAACAAAGAAATCTTTAGAAAAGAATTCAAAAAGTGATTATCATAACAGTCTGAAAGGAACTAAAAGAAGAAAAAAGTTCAAATTCCTTTATAGATACTATACATAGCATTCTTTAAGAAAACAAAAACAGAAAAAATAAAAATAAGAGAGACACTAATTAAAGATCTCATTCTAAAAGAAATATAAGACAGATTGAGGCAGCTCCTAAGCATAAAATCAAAACAGCAGTTTATAAATATAAGAATAAGACATATTTTACAAACAAGTATAGAGAATTTAATATAAAAAAATTAATAAATAGAAGAAAAATAAAGAAATAATAAATAGAATAAAAAGAAGAAAAGAAAAAAAGAGAAAAGTATCAAATAAAAAAAGAAAACCAAATTAGCAAATAATAGAAGAAAGAAAAATAAAAGTAAAAAAAAAAAGAAACAAATCAAAAAAGAAACACATAAGACAATTTTAGAACTTGTTATAAAAGAGAAAAGACTCTTTTATTATAGACTTTAAGTAGTTAAATGAGCAGCTTACTTATGCTTGAAGTAATGCAGCAGGTTGCACTTAGATACCATTAGGATGGCCAGATGATGCTGACTTAATTGTTAAAAATAATTTCAAAATCTTAATAAAATACTAGTGTAATTGCTTAAAAGAAAAAAAAGTTTTTATATTTATAATTTTATTTTTATTATTTTTTTATATTAAACTAGTTTCTTTTGGATCTAAAGCTTTTTATTCAATAATTAAAATATAGAGACTCATAGCCAAGGCCTTAAAGAAGTCACTTTTATATTAGAGAATGCAACTAATTACATATATATTTTTGGTATCTAATTTAAGTATTCTACTAATAGTTCTATACTAATTAGCATACCTGTAATCTAACTAGAAGCATTGCCTATTTAAACCTTTTATATTACAATTCTTATTATGTTACTAGATTATTTTTAATATATATGTTAGTCAAAAAGGTTTAGATATTTATTTGTATTCTTAGAACTTTATACTTTATTTTATGCAATATATTTTTAAAAATATTATTACTAAAACTTTTTATATTCTATTTACAGTTAACCTAGTTTTTATATAATATGTTATAGTTACCTAATACTTACAATTAGAACTAACTTTAAACTATTACATTACACTATTTCTATTCCTGTAAAGTTTATCTAAATCCTAATATCTATCTTCCTAATATCTTCTTTATCTTTCTTTACTAATTACAATTTAAAATTAACAAAATTCTTCAAATTTCCAATTCAAATAGTCTAGTATACTATACTTTAGTATCTTTTTTCTTTAGTAATTTCAGTGACTTAGTTGGTTATATACTCCTTTACATATCTTGTTATTTGGTTTATATATAAATTTCTATAAAAGTGTTTTGTAAACTTCTATCAGTCCAATAACACTATTAAAAGTTTGTGTTATCTCTTTACTCAGGAATATTCAAATAAGATTTTATCTTCTTGGTTCCTTTGTCTTTTGCATTTAATGATCTTATCATGAGTTTGCACTGAAGTCTTATGCAACACTAATTATTAACATTTTTTAATATACATATAATATTACATTTTGCATAAATACTCTGAACTCTTAATGATGACTTGATGTACCTGGATTACAGCCATATGAGGTCAACTGATTAACAGAAAACAGTTTTCATAATATAGATTAATTTTCAAATATTATTGTAAGTCATAACTTCAAAAATCATTCTTTTAAAAAGAACAATTCTAAACTCAACAACCCAATAATAAAGGAGTAGTCGTATCTTTATACTCGAACACTTTATTAAATAAACAATAAATTACTAATTCCTAAAGAGTAATCGTGTCTTCATACACGGATAACTCGAATAACCAATAAACTAGTTATAGTGTCTCCATGCACGAATAAATTGAGTACTTTATTAAATAAATCATAAACTTGTTATAAACTACTTGTATCTTCATATACATTTAGTCGTTTGCCTCTTTCGTAACTGCAAATCACCCTAATCCTCTTAAAAGCGTAACCGCAATAAAACCTTATACAGTCAAACCTCTATATATGCACCCTATACCTAAGTCCCAACTAATAATAAACCACTCTCTATAAATGCACACCCTTCACAAATGCACACTTATGGTCGGTCCCAAGGGGGGGAGGTTTGACTATACTTTACTTAAGCATTAAATCGGCATTGTTATTTAATTACCTTAACCTACCCGTCGCTAAAGAAAACAGTTATACCGAACTTATAAGAGGTAGTTATCAGGTGTAACACCTTACCCAGTCGAACTGTATCTTGGTTAAAAGTAAGTTTCATTAGGCGAAAGGATACTATCAAATGTATAATGTAATACTGTATATGATAACGTTCAAGAACCATTATCATCATGACGCAAAGTTATTTTGGCTCTTAATTGTAAAAATTTTCAAAACTTGGCCTTATATGTAATTATTTTATTTTCATTTTTCGGGCCATTATATGTAATTTCCCAAAAATTTTTTTAGAAAAAGAAAGTTAATCGGATCACTAAAGGTTAGTTGGCGATATAAAACCCATACTATAAGCTCGTGTCGTTTAATTTGAAAGAGCGATAATTTTTAATAGAAAATTAAAATTCAAACAGATATGTTAGCGGCCTTATTTAAGAAATTTTTTACTTAAAAAAAAAAAGCCGTGAGGCCAGGTCACATATTACTGTTCCATGACATGTATAATTTTATGCGGTCTTAATAAGTTTAAGAAATGCTATATTGTCGGCGACGTTTTAGTCTATTTTCGTATTCCCAATCGACCCATTGTTTCGTTATAATTCTTGAACTATCAAAATTTTCCTTCTTTGTAATACTTTCCTCCCAAGAAAAATTATCAAAATGCCAAAATGCGTATATTGGAATAATAAAGCTCCGTAAGGGCATTGACAAAAGGTAAATTATCATCCAAATAAAATTGGTAATTTCGCGCCGTGAAATAAATGTTATTAAGAAAATGAGAATAGCAGGCAGAACTAAAACTAATGTACGAAAAAATAAGGTAAAAAATGAAGCATTATATGGGTCAACGCTTGATATTATGATCAAATAAAAGAAGAATATGGTAGTTGTAGGAAGTACAACTATATTCACCAATCTCAAAAATATAGCGAATTTCATAGAAAAGCAAAAGGTTCCACACAGGTTGGGAATCAATAAAAGTTCCAAAAGATTATGTATTGTAGAATTAATCGATCGAAGACTTTCGGATAGAAAAGCGTAAAACGTATTTGATGCGACAATTACACAAACTGCCTTGGGAACAAATACTGTTTTTCGTTTGGGAAACATTTGAAGTAAAAGGGTGGTCAAATAATGATTCTCACCGAGATGCAAATTTTTCTTGTGAACTGTATCCAAAATATTTTCAGAGTATTGTTCGATGATGGTCGGATTTATAAGAATCGGTATCCAATTTCCGTCTGAACTCCTAGTGACTTTAATTCTATACATGCAGAAACAACTAGGTAGACATGTTACACATCCAAAAATTGACTCGAACGCCCTTTGTAAATGGGTGATATAATACTCAAATACTACAAAATAATAAATAAATAAATAACGTATAATTTCAAATTATGAAAAGATTCAAACATGTACAGTGTTGGAAAAAAGTATGTGATCTCTGAATAATTTATCAATTACAGTATTTATTATAAAGGAGTATAACATTATAGTATACGTGCATTCAGAAATAATGAATACTTTTTCCAGAACTGTATATACTGGTTACCTTGAATCATGGTCACCCAAGTGTCACTCTTATTAAAAATTTCTATCTCCCCACAAATACCTGTAATCTTATCGTCATGTGACATACATGCAATCATATGAGCCAACGAATCAGGATAAACCTTGGTGTTAACATCAACCTAAATTATATAAGAATAATAAACTCAATTGATATCAATATGTACGGAACAAGATTCTCATTATAATATTTTTAGATACAAACCATTAGAACAAGTTCAAAATAATCTGGAGTAACTTTACAAATAGTTCTGATGACAGTAAATAATTCATATTCGAGTGAATTCATCTTTTCATTAAACATAACATGTTTCAAGAAATTCATTAAAATAATTTTGGAATCACGTTTGTTAAAAATTTCTGATGCTGGGTCTTTTTTTTCTTCCGAGGCATATTTAACCATAGTTATCATAGGGACATTATGTACCTTTCCATCCAATGATCGATATTTATAATATCCGGCATAAATCTTTATCATTTTAAATTCCTTTTTATTATTGGCGAATGAAACGCAAGTATGGGACACGACTTCATCAGGAGAAGTGATAAAATCGCTCATCACCGAAACATAAACATTCGTTGTCGGCATTTTATTATCATCTACTATGCACATCATTAGTTTATGCGAAGTAGGATAATCTGTTCTTGCTAATGAATCTAGTGTCGTTCGTAAATCGTGCATGTTATCAGAATGTTCTGCAGCCACCAATAAAATTGTGTATTTTAAAGAAAAATCGAAATATTGTTTCAAAAAGTCTGTGTTAATCGATTGATTAACCGATGAGATAGATGATGATAAACCTTCGCGATTTTTATTGTTGTATTCATCATTAAGTGGTGGTTGATGATTTTTTGACGATTCATTTAATTTTTCTTCTACGTCTGCAAGGTAATTATCAAATCGTTAATTAGAAATATTAAAAAAGCAAACTGGATAGGCATCATATTGGTAGATATTCTCTTACCAGATTCTTTTCGGAAACTTCCTAGCTGCCAACTCAGCACGCATTCGAACCAGATAACCGAAAAATACTTAATAAGAACCATACCTACTATGATAGTTAAAGTGACTGATGATACCGCATTACTTATTACACAGCCAATGGAAATAGTGTCAATAACACCAATACGTAAGATCTCCTCCATGCATTTTGCTAATTGTATATTATTCTTTTGTAAAAAAAAAGTCATATCTTGACCATGAAACATGTTTGTACTTTTTATCATCATTGGTTTAAGTATGTCAGGCAGTCGGATATTTGGCACTATCCATTGGAGACGATCCATGTCAAAAACTTGTCTAATTAAAATAAAGATGGGTTATGTACATCTAATATTCATCTCATATAAAAAGGAAAATACATACCCATTATAAACGATGTAATTACGATCTGGTGACCGTACATCATCCCAATTGTAATAGATATCACCACTAAATTTCAGAACCGATATAGCTTTTTTCGCGAATGTTGATCCATGACAACCTGATTTTTCAGGATTTAATGACGAATTTGGTGCTATATGATCATTAATACTAAGTAATATGCAAGGGAAATAATTATAAACGTTTCCACTGCTATCCGCCGGTTGAATGGGAATAAACAATCCCTTACAATGCAAGTTAACTTGCTGGAACATGAATGTCAAATCATTACCACCAGCAGTTCTCTCAAAATTTGAGAAATTTATTCCTGCGAATGTTGGATGAGGAAAGCCTTTAATGTTATAAACTCTTCCAAGTATAGAAATTTGCATTTTATCAATTGTACCTAAACGAATTCGCGCAGGTTCTATACCACAAGAAACTTGGCTGAACCCATAGGTTAGAAAAATATTCATCACACAAATAGTTATTATGATTGTAAAAAGTGCAAACTTTTCACGCCAAGCTTGTTGAACTAATTTTCCACGGATTTCTGAAATGCAGAATGACAAATAATGGTTAATTCGAATGAATACAAAAATAAAGTAGATGTGTAAAAATCCATTCACCAAATAATGGCAATATCAAAGGAGTCCAACAAGTGATACTTCTAGAGAATATTATCCAAGCGGATGGAAATTGACATTGATACCATTTTTTCTTTTTTCCTTCTGCCTTTTCCGTCCTCCTTATCATGTTACGCATATGCATCCATTCTATCGATGAAGAGGAGAAATACTTTTAATGTATTTGAATTCGTATATCGGCGGGATATGTGACTGAAAACGAGATTAATAACTCTTCAAAATGCACCAGCATAGGCTTTTGACTCTTACCATCATGCGGAACATTAACCTCGATATCTAATACTTCATCTTTTAGAATAGGAAATTTGTCAAGTTTAGGTGTGTAAGAGACATTGGCAACATTATTTATGTGAAGACATTAAACATGCTCAATAGAATTTTTTATTGCATTAAATTTACCTTTTGCATATTGTGGATGGTCAAAAGTCTTGAATTGTCCATCGTTATTAGCATTTGCGTGCTCCGTGCGTTCATCAAAAAAGCTTGAATCTTCTTGTGTTGATGTTGTGCCTACTCTGCTTTGATTTCGTATGATTGCTGAATTTTGTCTATTCGCTTCGGATGGTAAGGCAGGGAGGGGTTTATTCTTATACATTTGTCACACTAGTTTTTTAAATAATTGCTCAAAAAAAAAAACCTCCCAAAGAATACTATCAATAGAAACAATGCAATTATATCCAAATATAATTTCGATGTTTTAAGTTACCAAAGATATATTGGTAAAACATAATTCATTTCCTTCATATAAGACACATTACAAACAGCATTGAGACCAGCGGAGAAAGGTTTTATCAACATGTGTCTAGATATTTAAATTTCTTGCCTCTCACAGAAACCTAGGTATCACTTCACTGGTCAAAGATTGCTTCTTTTTTTGGACAATCAAGACTTACACAACGGGGCTGTCAACAGATTGAGTTTTGCAACATTATTGCTACAGTAAAATTACGCGCGTATTGAACTTTATATTCGATCTTATAAAAATTTGTTGTAACTTACTAAAAGAAGCTATAAATTACCGAATTATATATAGAGATGAACTTTTATATGCAAATAGAGAAAATTATAATAAAAGTAGGAAATCGCGCATATATAATGCCCGACAAAAGTTTTTTTCGCACCTATAGAACTCGTAAAATCATGCATAGCACTTCCAAACTTTCAGTGGACAAAGGTCATGTAAGTCTCTATATTTTCTACAGGTAAAATAAGGTTCTTTTACTAGGTATCTACCATCTCCGTCTAAATATAACGTGATATCAGATATGTTGTTAAACTACCCAGTATCACTGTGAAAAAGTGACCGAAAAGAACGTTCGTTTTTTCAAAAATTTGCATAAGAAACCAACTTTTGTGCTCTAACAACCTTTTTCCTTGAGCATAAACTCCACTAATAGTTAGTCTTAAGGGTCGTCCATCACATGACAACGAGCCAATAGAATTGTTTATTTTGATCGACACGAAGAGACAAAAAATCGCAAAAAATGCAAGAAACGACAGTCTATACTAGAGTTTCACCATGAAGTCTGTTCTATTTGTTTCGCCATAATTTTCACCAGTTTCACCTGCAACTCTAGCCTAAACCCATCTTGGGTGTATTAATAAAAAATGTCGGGAGGACAATTTTACTATAAGGCGTGCCCTGACCCTAACCCCAAACTAACCCTACCCTAATTTAAAAAATCAAAACCTTACGACTGGACACGGCTTTAGACGACCCCATTTTGTGGGTTGTATTACCTTGATACATTTTTAGTACACATTAAAAATGTACATTTTAATATTTATCGTTATAATAAAATCGTGTTACTGTACATATTTTATTTGTACGTATGCTTAAACCTCTAATATGTAGCAATATCTATTCTATTCGAACCTTCTGTTCTTGTTTATTATAAATTTTAAATTTGTCATACAATAGTATATACTGTTAAAATTAGGGTTTGGAACCGTGAAAACTTATTCTAGCAGTAATCGTTTTACCATTTATCCGTTTAACTGCTTATTGATCATTTAAACGTTTAGCCATTTAACCATTTATGCATCGAATTCATATTAATTACCCAGTGCATTTAAAACATCTTGTTCCGAATAAAACTTTGATTCGACACTACAAAATAATCACGCGAGTTACTTTTTTTAATAAACATACCTTATGCATCCGTCCTGTGAATAAAATCTATAGATATGTACAGTATCATGCGTATATGTATTAATACTGTTACAAATATCTTATCTATATATTAATATATTAAAAAGAGTATATAATTCCTCTCATTGCTGACTGACCTGAGCAAATTCATTTTAGAACAGCAATATTGCACTATTTAGTTTATAAAGACTTATTTAATTTTACTAATAATATTTTATCTTTTCTTCTAATGATATAACCTTTTCACATTTTGCTAAAAAAGTTAGTTATTTATTACTACCAGTATTTGCAGAATTAAGTGCAACATAAGGATCACTTGTGTAATGAAATACAACCCTAACCTCTAACTACTAATACATTGGTGATGATCACAAACAGGAACTCAAAAATTTGGATATAAAATTGTAAATTTTTATTTGGATATCAACTTATATTTGGGTAAAATTTGGATAAAAAAATTAATAATTTGGAAAATTTTGGATATTAGATTTTATTATTTTTGTTGATTAAAATATAGTATATTTAATATTTTCAATGAATCTTCACTTAAGGGTAGGGTGTAATAAATTAAAATTATATATAAACTTAATGGTATATTTTTTTTATAATTTCAATTATGAAAATTTTTACTAATTAAATATTTT